CACCTCAGAGTCTCCAGTCGACAGTTTGGACTCTCCAGTACAGCACACAGAAGCTTCACTCCCGAATCCTGCAGATCATTGTAACTCATGTCCAGCTCTTTCAGATGGGAGGACTTGGACTTCAGTGCTGAGACCACAACTTCACAGTGAGTTTCTGACAGACGACAATCAGCCAGTCTGTGATTGGAGAAAATATAAAATGTGTCCTTACTTTAACCAGGTTCAAAACTCAATTTGTTAAAAATGTAATGATGTAATGTTAGAAGTCACTTCATACTAAAATTACATTTAGAAAAGTTCAAATCCATATTAAAATGTATCTTCAGTGCTTTGCTTTTTTGTGCCCTCATGGTCAAGGAATGGGTAGTGACTGTGGTTTGCCCTGTATGCGTCACATGACAGGACAGCATACAGGGCAGAGGTGAGAGCCCTGACATCATGGTTCCGCGACAACAACCTGCTGCTTAATGTCAGCAAAACCAAGGAGCTCATTGTGGATTACAGGAGACTGCAGAGAGGAGACCACACCCCCATCCAAATCAACGGAGCAGAGGTGGAGAGAGTCAGATGGTTCAGCTTCCTGGGCATCAACATCAGTCAGGATCTGAGTTGGTCACACCATGTTGGTGTGATCACAAAAGCAGCAAGACAGGTGCTCTTCTTTCTGCACCTGAGAAGATTCAGCATGAATCCCAGAACACTTACAAACTTCTATCGATGCACCATTGAAAGTTTTCTGACTGGCTGCTTCACCACCTGGTACGGCAGCTGTAATGTTCCGGACCACATAGCTCTGCAGAGGGTGGTGAGAGCACAGTGCATCACCAGGACTGAATTGCCAGCTATGCAGGATCTCTGTAGACACCGCTGCATGAGCAAGACGCAGCAGATCCTCTCCGATCCCAGCCACAGACGTTTCATGCTCCTGCCGTCCGGCAGGCAGATTAGGAGCATTCAGACCTGCACTAGCAGACACAGAGACAGTTTCTACCCACAAGCTATCAGGCTTTTGAACTGTTGACATTTTACACACACCATTACACACTCACTACAAATACTGGATTCTAAACACTGTCACTTTAAACCACAGACACAGATGAACAGACCCATAGGTCAAAACATGAGTGGAGCACAGAAAGGAATTGGAAAGAATACCAGAGGCGCAAAACACCAGCTACTAGTAGATCGAACAGTCAGCTGAGACTGCAAGACCAGGTTGATCAACCCGTGCACTGCCTGAATTGATCACAAGAAGGCCTATGACTCAATGTCCCATGCCTAGGTCCTGGAATGCCTTCACCAGGAGCAAGTCCCCATCAATTGTGGGATGTATCAAGGAGATGCTCTGTCAGGACAAGGCGCATGCACACGCATCGACCAGCAGTGAGTGAGAGCTTGGCATCCTAAGTTTTTAAGTTCTTATCATTTTCTTTTCGTTTCTATCAATGGCATGTGTTTTGGTTGAAGGAAGTGACAGTTTTCTTACAAAGTGACACAGGCTCCACAACAGTAAGAACGTCGTGGATTCTTTTTTCTTCATTGTGGTTGGATTTCTACTGTGCTGGCTTGTTTCCCAGACTCTGCTTCTGCCACGGAAGACGTGCCAGTGGGATTGAGGAGGACCTTGAAATATTCCTTCCACTGCCTGACGAAGAGGCTGCTGACCTCAGTTGAAGTCTGCAGCACTCCACCCACACTATACACAGCGCAGGTAGAACACTCACCACCAGGTGGTGATCAGTTGACAGCTCAGCCCCTCTCTTTACCAGAGTGTCCAAGACATATGGCTTCAGGTCTGGTGATACGATTACAAAAGTGTTGTGGTGCCACGTGTACTTATGCACACTCTTATGTTTGAACATGGTGTTTGTTATTGGCAAAGTGTGGTTTGCGCAGAAGTTCAGATCCAGGAGGCCGTTCGTCCCAATCACACCCTTCCAGGTCTCATTGTCATTGCCCACGTGAGCATTGAAGTCTCTCAGTGGAACAACAGAGTCCCCAGGAGGGGCACCCTCCAGTGCCCCACTCAGGGACTACAAGAAGGCTAGGTACTCTGAACTGCCGCTCGGCGGATAAACACAGATGACAGTCAGGACCCGTTCTCTGACCCGAAGGCGAAGGGAACAAACCCTCTCGTCCACTGGGAGAAACCCCAACATACCAGCAGCAAGCCGAGGGGATACCAAGATACCCACCCCAGCCCGACGCCTCTCACCAGGGGCAACTCCAGACTGAGACAGAGTCCAGCCCCTCTCCAGGAGACTGGTTCCAGAGCCCAGGGCAAGCGTTGAGGTGAGCCCGACTATATCTAGCTGGTACCTGTCAACCTCACGCACTAGCTCAGGCTCCTTCCCCACCAGAGAGGTGACATTCCATGTCCCAATGCCTGTCTTGGTAGCTGGGGATCAGTCCACCAGGGTCTCTGCTCCTGGCCGCCGCCCGACTCACAATGCACCAGACCCCTACAGTGCCACCTGCGGGTGGTGGACCTGCAGGAAGATGTGCCCTTGTCTCTTTTTGGGGCTGTGCCCGACTGGGCCCCATGGACTAAGGGCCGACCACCAGACGCTCGCCCTCGGGCACCTTCCCCCGGGCCTGGGTAACCCTATCCCAGGCCAGGTCTTCTAACTTGCTTTTTTTCTGGTCCCTCACCCAGGACCAATTTGCCATGGGAGAACCTACCAACATAGCCCCTGGGATCCCTTGGACACACAAACCCTTCCACCATGATAAGACGGTGATTTGCGGATAATGTTGCGTGGAGATCAGGGGCGCGGTACCCCTGGACCGGGGTGGTGGTCCCCATCTTTAAGAAAGGGGACCAGAGGGTGTGTTCCAACTACAGGGGAATCACACTCCTCAGCTTCCCTGGGAAAGTCTATGCCAGGGTGCAGGAGAGGAGAGATTTTAAGATTAGGCTTCAAACTTTCCTTTTTGCTAAAGCATATAGTTAGGGCTGGACCAGGTGACCCTGAATCCTCCCTTAGTTATGCTGCAATAGACGTAGGCTGCCGGGGGATTCCCATGATGCATTGAGTTTTTCCTTTCCAGTCACCTTTCTCACTCACTATGTGTTAATAGACCTCTCTGCATTGAATCATATCTGTTATTAACCTCTGTCTCTCTTCCACAGCATGTCTTTATCCTGTCTTCCTTCTCTCACCCCAACCGGTCGCAGCAGATGGCCCTGCCCCTCCCTGAGCCTGGTTCTGCCGGAGGTTTCTTCCTGTTAAAAGGGAGTTTTTCCTTCCCACTGTCGCCAAAGTGCTTGCTCATAGGGGGTCATATGATTGTTGGGTTTTTCTCTGTATCTATGAAGCGCCTTGAGGCGACTTTTGTTGTGATTTGGCGCTATATAAATAAAATTGAATTGAATTGAATTGAGAGTTCTTTATCCTCTCAAGGACACTCAAGGGCGCATGGGAGTTTGCCAAACCAGTCTACATGTGTTTTGTGGACTTGAAGAAGGCATTTGAATGTGTCCCTCGGGGGTCCTGTGGGGGGTGCTCCGAGAGTATGGGGTGTCTGGCCCATTGCTAAGAGCCACTCAGTCATTATACGTTGCAAGAGCTTGGTCCGCATTGCCGGCAATAAGACGGACTGGTTCTTGGTGCATGATGGACTCCGCCAGGACTGTCCTTTGCCACCGATTCTGTTCAGAATTCCGCCACTTGGCTACGATAGGCGTAGCCAAGTGGCGGAAGGCTTTCACTCGAGTGGTCTCAGGATCTCATCTCTACTTTTTTCAGATGATGTGGTTCTGTTGGCTTCATCAGGTGATAGCCTCCAGCTCGCCTTGGAAAGGTTCGCAGCCGAGTGTGAAGCGGTGGAAATGAGAATCAGCACCTCCAAATCTGAGGCCATGGTCCTCAGCCGGAAAAGGGTGTGTGCCCACTCTGGGTCAGGGACGAGACCCTGATCTGAATGGAGTTTAAGTATCTCGGGATCTTGTTCACGAGTGATGGGAGAAGGGAGTGGGAGATCGACAGATGGATTGGTGCACCGGCTGCAGTGATGCGGACGCTGTACTGGTCTGTTGTGGTGAAGAGAGAGCTGAGTGTAAAAGCGAAGCTCTCAATTTACAATTTGATGCAGGTACTGTCAGACTGAATGAGAGTGTTAGCCAACAAAGTCAGGTTAGCCAAAACATTGTTGTTAACAGTCCTGCCAGGGTTCCACAGAGAGCGATGAGAGGTGGACCAGAAGGATTGGATTGGCTTAGAATTATCCTGATGAAAATTCTGGCGGGAGAGCTGATAAATGTACTTTTGGCGAGGGAGGAAAACGATATCCGTGTGGAGATGAAGAACAGCCGTCGGTGGAGCAGCCAGACCCGCAAACCCGCCATCTACCACACGTGTGCATCAACATCGGCTGTCCCATAGCAGGGCTATCTATCTCGTTCCCGCTGCACTCGGCTCCTCCCCTCCATTCTCCCTCTTCCTGGTGTCAGGTTGATCATTCTTGCGAGTGCGCCGACCGCATTCCTGTCATAATCACTCTCATCTCACATGCCGCTTTTATTCTATTAAGAAGACAGCCGTCGGTGGAGCAGCCAGGGAAAATCAGAGTAGGAGGAGCTCATTGGCTGTGTACTGAAGTCCATTACCAGGTCGACAGATCGATGACACAAGGATAAAGACTCACACAGACTGTGTGTAGATCCTGGGAGGCCACATCACGGACAGAAGCAGACACTGGTGGGCCGTACAGACAGGAAGAGGGGAGGATGGAGATGGAAGAAGCCGGGATGCCGGTAGAGGATATCACTGAGTAGCAATAACATCAGCAGGAGCAAGGGGTATCAAGAGCAAGGGGGCAAGTAGGAAATAACAAGAAGCGAGTAGCATGGGTAGAAAGCAGGAATAGCGAAGAAAAGTAGCGAGAGGGTTAGCGGTGAGTAGAGGCAGCAAGTCGCGCCAGCGTTTACCAGCCTTATTCACATCCCTCATACACTCTACAGCCTTATCAGTACTGACTTCATCTTCACTGACTCATGGAGCACAATGTGAACCTGTGAAGGCTGAAAAACTGTCCTCCCAAATCTCCCCGTCCCCACTACACTTCTGTCAGCCTTCAAGTGAACCCTGCTCAAGTCTGTCACTTTTATTTGGAGCCAAAAGGGAAGACTCTTGTTCAGTCATTCATAAAGACACCACATTTCTGAAAGCACTCAAACTTCTTCACATTTGTCTTTAGAGATATTCTGAACAATTAGGAACTAAAGACAGTTTCAAACATTAATCAAAGATTTGAAATATAGAAAAACAACAACAGCTGCAGTCAGTGAACTCACCTCAGAGTCTCCAGTCGACAGTTTGGACTCTCCAGTCCAGCACACAGAAGATTCGCTCCTGAATCCTGCAGGTCGTTGTAACTCATATCCAGCTCTGTTAGATGGGAGGGGTTGGACTTCAGAGCTGAGGCCACAACTTTACAGTGAGTCGCTGAGAGTCGACAATTGGTCAGTCTGTGATTATAGAAAATATAATGTGCGTTATTATAAAGCCTGCTGCTGTCAGGTACGACTCTTCATGTCGACACGCAGGAAAAATCTGCTGACTATTACCAAATGGAGCAGTAATCTCATCACTGGACAATAATGATGGATGAACTCAGAAGTGCTGATATCATATCTGATTTCAGACTAAAAAGGAACCAAAAGAAACAACCATCATGACTCAGAAACCTTGGTTCAGAACTGCAGCAGGATTTCCAGGCAACATGACATCTACTTCAGCAACACGTTCTCACTCCCAAAGCGTAACATTCTATGCTAGGTGACAAATCGTCGGTATAATACACTTCCAGGAAAACCCATCCCCATTTTACGAGTCAGAGTCTGCACCAAAATAAGAAATGTTGATGGTGAGGCAGAAGTTGAAGAAAAGTGAATCAGACAATGGCTGAAGCACTTGAAACATCACTCTTTTCTCTGCCAGTACCACCTTCCAAACAAAGACTCCACTGTAGCAGCATTGTAGGCGGAAACAAGCGTAAACATAACAGCAGCTTACACTGCTTGATGTTGAGAATTGAAAAAATTAATTATTCTGATTCGGCATTCCTGACTGAGGGTTTCTGACTGAGGTTTATGTCTGTGAGGGTAGTAATCTTCTTATTAATGTGTGATGTTAAATGCAGGAAAGCATTAAGTACATTTACTGCTTTCAGAATAAAGGAAAACATTTTCAGCCATAGCGCTATGAGTCACAGGTAAATATATTTACAACAATGTATGATTCAACCTGCTGAAATTAATTAGCAGACATAAGTCCCCAGGTTTCATCTAAACTTACATCAACTCTTTTTCACATTTTCAGGGTTTTAGCCCTGAGGAGGATCAACCCCCGCAAGGTAGCAGAACCAGATAACATCCTGGGACAAGCCCTTAAAACCCTCTACTACATGGCTTTTTAATTTTTGGGGAAAAAATATTTCTCCCTATTTTGGGGGAGCTTTAGGGTACCTGATAATATATCAATCATAAAATTTGACTGTCACTCCCTGAAAGCTCACTGTCCTCACTTTCTGAGGACAGAAAGTGCACATTCCCTTGGTTTCCTTCCATAAAAGGTATTTACATCCATGTCCTGTAATTATGAGTAGATTGTAAAGTAAAAAACATTGACTATGATCATATAAATGCACACAAACACATCTCTACACACATATGCAAATGCATTATATTGCCTGAAAAAAATTGGGTGATGACTGCGAGTCAGACTAATGTACAACAGCTTTCACTTTCAAACCATTTCCTAGTCTGCTTCTCTTCACTGTTAAAGGTTTTGTAACAAAAAAGTAATCCAACACCTTTAACCACCATTTTAAACCCATGACTCATTTAAAGTACACATAACAATTATTGTAAAAATCTGAAAAAAGCCAGATATCACAATGCTCTATCACGTAAGAATTATTATGTCTAGTAAAGATCACAAATAACAAGTAATGTAAAGATTAATGCTTCGTACACACTGTTAACTATAGTCACTGATCTAAGGCCCTCTCTGAGACAGTGGAAACTGATTTTTCTTCAGTTGTTTTTTTTTTTTAACCATGTCAAGTGTTTTATATAGCTGTTTTAAATATAAGTAACAGTAGGCTATTTAGAATCAATCAAGGTCAGTTGACAATAAAAATAAAATTTCTGTATGCGATTAGCATGATACAGATCTCAACCAGACGGATAATATTCCATGCACCATCTGTCTTTCTTTTCTTAACCACTTATTCAATTAGGAGTTATGTCCTGAATCCTGCCTTAGCTGTAGACAAAGGCAGGTACATCTGAGCAGGTAATCAGTTCATCACACAGCGATACACAAGTATTCACTCTCACATCACTAACAAAAGAAATTCTACAATCACTAGTTATTCACACAAGCATGCCTTTTTAAAGTGGGGGAGAACACACAAATTTGCGTTTAGTATTATGTATATTTGAAGAACTCCTCAGTGAATTGCTACCTTATCGTGGTGGAGGGATTTGCATACCAGTGGGCTTTTGCCCTCTGGTAGGGTTTCTCATAAAGGTCTTGTGCCTGAGTTGTATAGCGCCTTACTTAGTCCCTATGGACCCCAAAGCGCTTACATACATTCAGTCACCCACACACACATTCACACACTGGTGATGGTAAGCTACATTGTAGCCACAGCTGCCCTGGGGCGCATGACAGAGGCGAGGCTGCCTCTGACCACCACCAGTAGTAGAAGGCGAAGTGCAGGTGAAGTGTCTTGCCCAAGGACACAACGACCAAGACTGTGGGAGCCGGGCTCGAACCGGTAACCTTCTGATTACAAGACGAACTGCCAACTCTTGAGCCATGATTAAAGTCAAAAGTGTGGACACACCTTCTCATTTAATGTTTTTCTTTATTTTTACTACTTTCAGCATTGTAGATACATACAGAAGGCATCAAATATATGAAGCAAGATATATGGAATTACTTAGCAAAAAAAAAAAGAAATTGATAAATAATGCTAAATATATTTTATATTTAAGATTTATTAGCCACCCTTTGCTTTGTTGACAGCACTTCTCTCAATGAGGTTCATGATGTAGTCACCTGAAGATGGCCTAGCCTCTACAGTGACTTGACCTAAATCCAATGGAGATGGTTTAGGATAGGATGGACCCCAGAGTGAAGGCAAAATGACCAACAAGTGATCAGCATCTCTGGGAACTCCTTCAAGACTATTGGAAAACAATTTCAGGTGACTACCTCAAGAAGCAAATGTGGCCCGGTTGGTCACAGCCTGAAAAGGGGCATTAGCCCAGCCCCTGTAAGCCCACCACCGACAGGAGTCACTGTAGGGGTCAAGTGCAGTGTGTCTTGGGTAGTGGTCAAGGGCAGAGACCCTGGAAGACAATCCCCAGCTACCAAGTCTGGTGATTGAACCTTGAAAATCACCTCTGGTGTGGAGGGAGCCTGAGCTAGTGTGTGAGACTGAGAGGTACTGGCTAGATACAGTTGGCTACCTCAATGCAGAGCATGGGCTCTGGAATCAGTCTCCTGGAGAGTGGCTGAACTGTAGCAGAAGAATTCTGCTCTGCTATTGACAGATGATGTGGTTCTGTTGTCTTCCTTAGGTGGTGGCTATCAGGGATAGGTCTGTGACCTAGTGTTTTGAGTTTATTTTGTGTTTTTGAGTTTCTCATGTTAAGTTTGTGATAATAAGTTCTTGTATTAGTTAGGATTTAATTGTGGATTATTCTAGATTTTGTTTCATCTTTGCCTCCTTAGTTTAGGTGTCATGTTTCCTGTCCAGACATGTGTTTCATGTCTTTGTTGTGATTCAGCGGCTGTGTGAAGGCAAGAGAGGACCCAAATGCACGGCTCAAGACACACGGGGATAAACTCGGAAGGCAGGTCTTTATTAATAGCTTGCCATTGCCAATGTGTGAATGTGTGTGTGAATGGGTGAATGACTGAATGTAGTGTAAAGCGCTTTGGGGTCCTTAGGACTGAGGAAAGCGCTATACAAATGCAGGCCATTTACCATTTAATAGACACGAGTCATACAAAACTATACTGGGATAAACTAAAGCTGAGGCACTGGGAAGACAAGAGGCAATGCACAAAAAATAGAGCAGGGGTCAGCAACCTTTAACACCCAAAGAGCCATTTGGACCCGGTTTCCACGCAAAAGAAAACACTGGGAGCCGCAAATACTTTTTGACATCTAAAATGAAGATAACACTGTATATATTGTTTTTTACCTTTTATGCTTTGTGTGAACAACTAAGGTGTGTTGCTTATGAAATCCATGAAGTGCTACAGAGAAAATTACATTTTATTTATGTAATTAACACATTTTGAACTCTTAAAGAAATATAACAAAAGGAAAGACACCCAGCTGAACTAAAATGATCCATGTAGCAAACAAAAACTGTTGTGAGCCGCCACCCTTATATCGCCTTTGGGCTTTTGGAGCCTTGACCTGACTTTTAAAAAATAATTGGAAAAAAAACTCATGCTGCTAAAAAAAAAAAGAAAAATAGATATTTGCAAAATTCTGCCTAAATATGTATTTTACCTGGTTAATGTGTGTGGCGGGGCGTAGTCTGCAGCGCCGCGGCAAGGGAGGCGGACGCACCTGAGCGGCACCCGCAATCATGCGTCGCCGCCTTAAAGTCTGTGCTATCTGTGCTGTTGTCTTGGTATGTGTCGGGCTGTGAGCTGAAAAGCTACAGCTGGCTGTATGTGTACAGCAACCGTGTGTGAAAAGTGGTCTAAAGAACATATCATGGAAACATCGTCGGGTCTGCCGTGATATGTTTACAATGGGACTTCTGCTCCTGAACCTCTGCGCACAGCGTCTGCAAATCGGGGCTGTACGAAGTCACTTTCATCTTTACGCAGGACTGTAAGCTGTCGTCTGTGAGGCGTGAGCGGTGTTTGTTTTTAACATAGTTCACGGTGGAGAACAGCTGCTGACATAATGTGGATCCGAAGATCCATAATTGGCCTACCTGGGGTTGAAAGTCTCGATAAATGCACGGCGTTTCGGCGGGTACACCGGCTTCCGCGAGTGTGACGCTTATTTTGAGCGATGAAAAAATAATAGAATATAATTTTATTTTTATATTTCAATATCACAATAATCTTCCAATTTAGAACTACAAGTTAAAAAAGAACTAACATAAATAAAATACACTTCAGCTAAATACTTCTAATTTATTTTCCCAAACCACGCGGAGCCGCACTATAAGGACTAAAGAGCCACATGCGGCTCTGGAGCCGCAGGTTGCCGACCCCTGCCCTAGAGGGATGACACAACATGGAACAAAGGGATGTTCTGATTTTGTGATTTTGTTTTTCGAGTCCGAAAACAAAATAACCACAAAAACTGGAGCACAGGGAGCAAATCAAAAACAGTTCGGGAGGCCGACCCGGAGGATGGCATCACAATAGTGTAAAACAGTTCAGTTCAGGAGGCCGACCGTGTGGACGGCAACGGCGG